TGTAGATGCTAGTCCAAAACTCTTAAACCCTTAAGCTTTAAGTTCATAACCAATATGAACTTAAAGAAGACATGAAGATGCAAGTGTTCTTCAATTGTTCTAACCAAAACTAGAGAGAAAGAGAGGGAGATAAGAGGTTTCGGCCATATGCCTCAAGGAAGGAATGAGCCCTCTTTCAAGAATACAAGCCTCTTATTTATATGCATAAAGTGAAGGTATTAACCATCAGTCCTTAGCACTTTAAGAAAACTTGTCCCCATTGTCATAAGCATGTCTCCCATGCCTTTAAAGTATGATTAAACAAGTCATACACTTATTATTTTTATGCAACTCTCGAAAATTGCATAAAGAAAAGGAAAATTAGTTTAAATTTTATAAACTCAAGGTTTATAAAATATTAACTTTGTCTTTTGAGTAAAAGACAAAAAGTTTTCAACTAGTCCAAAAGGTTGTGCATGACTTATTAATTCATACCATATGAGATAATATACTGTTACTTGCTAATGAAAATTATTATTTCAATGAAACAAATAATTTCCAATTTAATTATAAGAGTTTTATTGAATATTTATTAAAATCAATTTCTAATAAATAATCAATTATATCAAGTTGTTGTTAGTGTGACCCATTATGATCATATGTTATTTAGCAATATCACTTTAATATGACTCTTGAGCATACTAGATCTTTCAAGAAAAAGCAGTGGCTATAAACGATTCCGTTGCAGAAGAAGAAGAAAATTGGCGACAACAGAATTCAAAGAAAGGCAACAAGAGAGAAAGAGGGCACGAGCTATGGTAAACGGAGCCAATCTCGACGAGATCTATGGCTACACTGTTGATAGAAAGAGAGAGGACTGAAGATCAGAGGTCGTCTGGAAGAGAAGGTACGATTGGAGGGAGGCGACCACAGCATCGACAGAGGCTGACTTGGAAAACAAATCCGAATAAAAAGAGGTCAACCGATGAGAGGGTCGTCTGAGGAGGAGATAGAAGGTGCAGAGGCAGAGTCCATCTGAGGAGGAGGTAGAAGCATGCGAGGCAGTAGAAGAAGCCGGTGAAGGAGTTTCGGCTTGATGCCGACGGTTGTATTACTATTTAGTAAGAGAAAGAAGAAAAAGGAAAATATTGAGCATAATGAAGACACATCTGACAACTGTTAGAGAATGTCGTCAGAGGTGGAGGGCGGTGGCTGGGGTTTTGGTCAAGAGTAGAGTTTTAACCTAGAGCTCTGATAGCATGTAAGAGAATGACTAATTTGCTTGATTACTCAAAAGACAATTACGTAGGAATATATTAAGAATGTGGCATGGAGCTAAACCTTAATCACTAACACATTCCATGATATGTTTGGTTGTTAGCCAAATGGATAGAGTTCAATTTTTCCAAGTTCCTTCAATTTCCATGTTTGATGTTGCCAAAAGAATGAAAGCTTTTGTAGATAGTCTGTCATCAAGGGGAAAAATCGCAACACTTATGCAAGAGAATGTTTCAGTTTGAATTATATTCTATTGTCAAATGGGTACACTACTAGAAACAATGCCTTTAGCGGCGACACAATTACCGGCGACATAAGGTTTTAGCGGCGACTCTACCATTTGTCTCCGGTAAAACCCCCTGTCGCCGGTAATTGTGTCGTCGCTAAAGGTATTCCATCCGAATCCACGTTATCCCTTTCTGATACACCTCAGCCGTTCGATCGAGTATCTCATCCAACGGTTGGGGCGTCTTATCCGCACATACCCAATACAGGTCCGGTTTTAACAAGTCAAATTTTGATTATTTTGTTTTAACAGGTCCGGTTTCTTGATATGCATGAAGTTAGGATGCTATTTCCCCTTAAAATTGCACATGAGTCTGTTTATGTCAATGTCAAAGAATATCATGCAATATTGAGGTGAGGAAAACCATATGCTAAAGCCGAGCTTCAAAAGAAGATTATGAAAAGACAAAAAGGTTTGCGGGAATTTTTTTTATTATTATTAAGTTTTTCTATATGTGTTTATATATTGTGGGCGTTCTTGTATCTCTTAGTTGTGGAACCTATAACGTAAAAGTGGATACCAGGTGATGTCTTATAAATTATAATTATAAAAGTGGAGGTGAAATATAATATCTTTACTATGGACATAGGTGACTGATGAGTACAAAGGTTGGATGAAATTCACTAAAGTCACTCTTGATTAATATTATGTTGAAAATGAAGCATATGGAGAATCATGATTGTGGAATTTATTTACAGGTTATACAAGTTCAAGTTAAATCCTCTGAACATTTTGCATCTTTTGAAAGCTAATTAGTTCTATAAATTGGATGGTTTTGTCGCTAGTCCTTTTACTAAAAATTAGCCACCACATGCATGGTAGGCAAGTATTTTTTTCCATTTCCAAACAATATTAGTGACAAGGGTGTGTGGGTGTGGTTTGGTGCGATTTAGAGCCAAAACCGCAAACCGCACCGCATATGCAGTTTGAGTTATTTAGAAACCGCAAACCGTACCGTAAACCTTCTAAACCGCATTATGCGGTGCGGTTTTGTGCGGACGGTTTATGCGGTTTACATGCAGTTTTACGGTTTGACTAATTATTTACTTGAAATTTAATGACAATACTATCATTGTCGTCACTAACGGCTCCTTAAGTGGTAATTAAAAATTTTGGTGGTCATAGAATTATGGTCTTTAACTACTTATCAATATGTATAAATATATAAGTTAAGAAAACATAATGACCATAAAATAATGGTCACTGAATGTTAGTTGAAAATGGATTTGTAACAAAAAAAAATATGGTCACTGCATTAAATTTAAAGAAATATTGATTACATTTCAAAAACTGAAGATAATGCCACTAATTTAGGATGAATTGAATTAATAAATGTTATAT